TGACCGTAACACGCTTTCCGAATATTTTATTCCGCTGCGCAACTCTATAACGGTACCGATTGTTCCAACATGTTTTACATGTTCAATAAATAGAACAACTTTTCCGATTCCAAAACACATCAAAATTATTTCTCTCATTTTCTCATTCTCTCTATTTTTTTCTAAGAAAATCCTGGTTTATTTTATACTCTTTTTAGAGATCCTTGTTAGCTATGAGATTCTCAGAAATATTCTGGTAAGTTCCTATTGTATTCCGGGAGACTTGCGCAATACACTGCGGATAAGTCCTTAAGGATAGTGAAACTACACGCATCAGAAAATATTCTTCGTGTTTTTTTTAGCTTTTCTACAACAATCTTTAGTACTTATGGCTGACATCAATGTTAAGACATCGACAAGCGTACCAAATTGTATTTAGTAATAAACCGGTAAGATAGAATATCATATCCCAAGAGACTCGTGTGACCCTAAACGATCGTATAATTACTTAACTAATTTAGACCAAAGATTATGCATAAGTTGTAAATTGAAGTTTTGTGGTTAAAACACTTGGAAATGGAATGATTAGAGATGATATGGATTGGAAATGTAGGGGTATGATTTTACCTACTACATTCTCATGCAAGTAAGCCCAACACGTGAATTGGGTTTGTAGTGCTGGCGTTGGGGCGGCCCCTAGACCATGGACGTTGGGCGCGACCCAGCAGAAGGCCAAAACTCGACCATTGCAACTGGCGTTGGGCGCCCCTTATGCAGAGGGCGTTGGGCGCCATGCCAGATATCAACAATAGTGAAATTTTCCTCTCACACTATGATTTTTGGAATTTTACACCAATTCTCACCCAATTTAATCCAGATCACTTTTTTTTACTAAGCAAACTTGTTCAACACCAAAAGGACTTAAATTGGGTGCAGGAATTACAATTTTGGTGCACATTTCCAACGCTATCTAATTCCCCAACTCAGGGCTTCTATTTTGGCAATTAATTCAAACAAACCTGAACTCAACATGACACATCAAAACATACTTAACCACATCAAAATAATTTGGAACAATCCAAAACCACCAATTCACATTTACACTTAACCATTACAACCATGCAACTAGCCACACCTTACACTACAAATCAAACTTACTTACTCCAAAATAACCCAATTAAACAAAACATTCTAAAACAAGTTTAAACAATCAAAACACAACTAAACAAAAACATGATACAAGATAAAGGTCTAGAGCGTTGGGTTGCCTCCCAGTTAGCGCTTGTTTAACGTCACGAGCTTGACACCATGATGTTTAAGGGTCAACCAATTGAATGATTGTGGTGAGGCGCTCAACCTCACCACCGAAGTAATGCTTGAGTCGTTGCCCATTAACCATCCAACTTCTTTGTGGGTCATCTGAGGACGAATCCATCAACCCAATTGCTCCATGTTGTTTGACATCCTTAATTGTGAACGACCCAGACCATTTATACTTCAAATTCCCAGGGAAGAGCTTGAGGCGAGAGTTGAACATTAACACCTGTTGGCCTAGATGTAAGATCTTCTTCACCAACTTCCTATCATGGTAGAATTTGAATTTCTCCTTGTAACTCTTGGAAGCGTCATAGGCATGCAAGCACATATCTTCAAGCTTAAGCAGTTGCCTCTTTCTCTTATCAGCAAACATGGAGGGTCAAAATTCAGGAACTTTAAAGTCCAATACGCACGATGTTCCATTTCCACGGGCATATGACATGCCTTCCCATAGGCTAGCTGGAAAACAGACATTGCTACTAGAGTCTTCATTGCAGTCTTGTATACCCAAAGGGCATCATCTAGTTTTTGAGACCAATCCTTTCTTAAAGAAGCAACCGTCTTCTCAAGAATCCTTTTTATATCTCGGTTAGACACTTCAGCTTGCCCATTGGTTTGTGGTTGGTAAGGGGAGGCCACCTTATGCTTCACTTCATAATGCTTCAGAACCTTTGCAAGCTGAGCATTGCAGAAATGGGATCCTCCATCATTGATGAGTACTCTATGTACTCCATACCGGGAGAAAATTTGTCTTTTTAGAAACTTGATTACTGTATTGGCATCATTATAAGGACAAGCAAATGCTTCCACCTATTGGCTCACATAATCCACCGTCACTAGAATATACTCATTGTTGAAGGAAGGAGGGAGGGGGCCAACAAAGTCTATGCCCCAACAATCAAAAACCTCAACCTCCAAAATGGCCTATAGTGGCCTCATGCCATCTTGAGATGTTCCAAGTCCTCTGACACTTATCATAACTTTTGGCATGATTGTGGGCATCCTTGAATAAGGTAGTCCAGTGGAATCTAGATTGAAGAACTTTTGTAGTTGTTCTTTCTCCATTGAAGTGTCCCCCATAGGGTGAGTTATGACAATGCCAAAGGATTCCTACTGCTTCTTCATCAATTTCAAAATGCCTCAAAAGGTTGTCAACTCCAATGTTGAATAAGAAGGGATCATCCTAGATAAATTGCTTTGCATCATGCAAAAACTTCTTTTTCTAATGCAATTAAAGGTCTTTTGTGAGAGCTCCTGCTGCCTTGAAATTAGTCATGTCAGCAAACCATGGTCACTGTTGAATATTCAGGAGAGTCTCATTTGAAAAGGATTCCCGAATCTCTTCTTCCTTGCATGTGACTTCATCATTGATGAGCCGAGATAAATGATCAACTAGCAAACTTTCACCTCCCTTTGTGTCACGGATCTCCAGATCAAACTCTTGCAACAAGAGCACCCATATAATCAAACACGGTTTGGAGTTGGGCTTAGTTAACAAGTACTTGATGACAGCATGGTCAGTGTATATGATCACTTTAGACCCAATGAGGTAGGGTCTAAATTTCTCCAAGGCATACACTATGACAAAAAACTCCTTTTCGGTTGTGGCATAGTTCAATTGAGCGTGATTCAAGACTTTTCTTGCATAGTAGATGGTGTGAAAAACTTTTTCTCTTCTTTGGCCAAGGACAACTCCTATGACATAATCACTTGCATCACACATTACCTCAAAGTCTTGATCCAATTATTAGGAGCTATAATCACTGGGGTAGAAATCAGCTTAATCTTCAAAATGTCAAAGGCGTTGAGACATTCATCATTCATCTCAAACAGTGTGTCTTTAACAAGGAGGTTGCTCAAGGGCTTAGCGATCTTGAAAAAAATCTTTAATGAATCTTCTATAGAAGCTAGCATGACTAAGAAAGCTTTTAACTCCCTTCACATTCATTTGCGGTGGAAGCTTCTCAATAACCTCCACTTTGGCTTTGTCCACCTCAATCCCCTTGGGTGAAATCTTATGCCCCAAAACAATACCTTCGGTCACCATGAAGTGGCAATTCTCCCAATTAAGAATGAGGTTGGTTTGGATGCATTTTTTTAGCACGGTCTCCAAATTTTCCAAACATAAATCAAACGAGCTTCCAAACCTAAGAAGTCATCCATAAAGACCTCTATACATAGATTACCCGTCCAAGAACCAATAGAAGGCTTGCCTTGCCAACCTCTCAAGCATTTGATCCATGAAGGGGAGAGGAAAGTGATCCTTTCTAGTAGCCTTATTGACCTTCCGGTGGTCAATACACATTCTCCCACCGGTTACGGTTCTTTTTGGGATAAGTTCATTTTTATCATTAAACACTACTGTCATGCCACCCTTCTTAGGCACCACTTGCACCGGACTTACCCAAGTGTTATCAGATATAGGATAAATAATTTCGGCCTTAAGAAGCTTCAGAACCTCTTTTCTCACCTCCTCTTTCATGACGGGATTAAGCCTCTTTTGCGGTTGGGCCACCGATTTAAAGTCCTCCTCCATGAAAATTTGGTGCATGCAATAAGTTGGAATTATCCCCTTCAGATCAGAAATGGACCAACCTACTTATTAAGACTCCAGCAAGTGTACCGAATCGTATCAAGTAATATAAAATGGTAAGACCAAGTATCGTATCCCAAAGGACTCACGACCTAAACAATTATGTGATTTCTTGATTAAATATGACTTGAAAACAAACTCTTTTTGGTTTAGAATGCAAATACTTAAAAGTAAATATGCATGCAATTTGATCAATTGGACAAAAGTGCAAAGATGAATGGTTTTGATATTATGAGATGATTATGTTTGTTAGGTTAGATTTCACCTAGTTTACTCTAATGTATATATGAATTCTACTTCTTAATTAATGTCAATGTCACTCTCTAAAACACTTAAAACCTGATTCCTCAGCGAAGAAAACCTATCCTTAACTAGCATTCCTAATAGTTAATTCTGAAGAACAAAAGCTTAAGACAACCAGAACTCATACCAGCATTCCTGAGCAATACTGCTTCTCGAAATAATTCTCCGGACATGAATTGTAAGATACCTTTCGGTACTTATGCAAATCATACATCATGCTAAAGAATGAGTTAAACTAAGCAAGCATTACGTAAAGAATAATTATCCTAACAATTAATGATATAATCATATATAATTAAGAATCAATTCAATACATGAGAATTTACAAAGGTTACATCATCCCCAACAACAAATAGGGTTTAGTTCACCATTGACATGGTGAAACTAGATGAACAATGGAAAAAGAATGAAAGATAAAACCCTAGAAATTGAAGCAAGGAGCTTCCGCATCCAATTCCGTCTTCAAGGGAGCAAAGAGTGTGTTTTTGAGCTTATTTCATCCAAAGATGTGACCCGTAGGACGTCCAAGTCCTTAAATAGAACATAAAAATAACAGAAAACAGGTCCAACCTTACGAGAATGGCGCTCAGCGCCCCACTTATGGTGCTCAGTGGTGTGCGAGTCAAAAGTTGCACTCAGGGTCAACTTAGAGGGCAAGCAAGCGTGGTGCATCTCGACAAAGTTGTGCTCAGCGCCCCTGAAAAGGGCGCCCGTGCGCGAGCCAGAAACATCCTGTGCTTAGGGCTCTAGAAAAGGGCAGCCAGACGTGAGACAGTGTACTTTGGCGTTGAGGGCCCCTCAAGTGGCGCTCAACGCTGCTGCAATTTTCTTTCTTGATGCTTTTCCCTCCCTTCCTGAGTTCCAACTCCTTACTACTTAAACTCTTCTTCCAATTCATCTCAATTCCTGTTAAAAAACACTGAAATCTAGCACAAAATCATTAAATTCACCTTCAACTCTCTTATTCATCAAAACTATGATTCCAAGCTAGTTTCTATGTCAAAAAGGATGTTTTTAGTATCAAAATTAAGTATCAAATAACGGTAAATTCAACCGTTATCACTACAACTCCTTTGTTACTCTTCAAGTCCTCAACCAACTTCTTCTCTTCAATAGAGGATAGGGAGCTCATAATAATTATTGGCTTGTTGCTACCTTCTTCTAGAAAAACATACTTTAAATGAGAGGGTAACATCTTCAACTCCAACTTCTTCTCTTCAGCAATGACATTTGTCTTCAAGTCCTCAATTTTCACCTCATTAGGTGGAATCTCCTTCAACACATCGAAATCTGTCAAACATTTTTCAATCAATCTCTCCCCTTCCTCATTGAGAGACTCACATGCATCAATGAGGGTCTTCACAAGGGGAGATGACACGTGTATTTCCCTTTCCACATTCATGGAAGCTTCATCAAACACATCAACATGAAAACAAGCTTCCTTATCATTAGTGTGGGACATGGCTTCAAAGACGTTGAAATTCACCTTTTCATCTTGCACTCTCACTTTGAGTTTGCCATCATGGTGTAATCCTACCTGGCGTAGTCTTCTTATTATATTTTTTTTCATTTCATTGTATACATATCTTAGCGTGCAAGGAGCATGGGTTACTATAAATACTCAGCTCCTCTCTTGTAATTTTTACTTTTGAGATGAATGAGAATTAGACTTCTGAACCCTAGAATTAATTCTCTCTTTAAAGTCAGGCTAGAGAGTCTTAGGATCCACCTCTACCCATCTTCCAAGCACACTACCTCCATTTTCATTTTCCTTGATTTCCACAGTGCTTCAGCTTATTTCTCTCTCCACGGCGTAGCTTCTTCACCATTCTGCTTCAACATAGTGGCGTCAGCGCTCCTTAGCCACGCGTCCTGCTTTGTCTCGCACACCGCTTTGCCACATCTTCATTTCTCTTTCTCACGCATCAGATCCACATATGTAGAGCCACATTCCATTTCTCTCTCGCATGAGCATAATTCCATCATTGTTAATGGATTAGCAAGTGTACCAAATCGCACAAGTAATATAAAATGGTAAGACCAAGTATTGTATCCCAGAAGACTCTCGTCACTAGACATTTGTGTGATAACTTGATTAATTAAGACTTAAATAAAACGAGATCATTGGTTTAAGATGCAAAAGACTGAAAATTAAATATGAATGCAATTTGATCAATAGCAGAATAGCACAATGATAAACGAATGTTGTTTGTAATGAGATGAATATGTTGTTGGGTTAGACTTCACCAAGTTCTCTCTCATGTATGTAATAATTCTTCTTGATGCATTAATGTTAACGTCACTCACTAAATCACCTAAACCCCATCCCTCGACGAAATAGGCATGTCCTTAATAACCAGTTCATGCAATTCCTAGCAATTAAATGTGAAGATCAAGAGCTTAAAGATGACCAAGACTCATACCCTCATCCCTGAGCAATATTACTCTTGGGAGAATTCAACAAGAACCTGAATTGTAAGGAACCTCCCGTCACTCATGCAATTCATATATCATGTTATGAATGAGTTAAACAAAGCATGTAATAAGCACAGATGAATTACTCTAACAATTAATGAAAAAGCATGTGTTATTAAGAATCAATTCAAATACATGAGAGTTCACAAGGTTACATCATCCCCCAACAACAAATAGATTTTAGTTCCCCATTGACATGGAAAGACTAGATGAATAATGGAAAATCATGAGATAGCAAAACCCTAAAAGTATAGGAAGGACGATTTCGCATCCAAATCCACCTTCAGAGAGTGGAAGAGAGTGTTGTTGTACTACTCCAGCTAGAGATACAAAACCTAGGACGTTTGGGTCCTTTAAATAGGACGACAACAGAACAGAAACAAAGCCCAAGCTCGAGTCAGTGGCGCTCAAGCACCCCACTTAGGGCGCCCGGGCGGCGAGTGGTGGTCTTCCACACTCAAGCCTTGCAGAAGATGCCCAAGCTTCGAGCCTCCGACGCTTAAGCGTCCCAAAAAGGGCGCCCGGGCGGTGAGCGACACTCTTCTACGCTCAAGCCTCCAAAAAAGGCGGCCAAGCTTCGAGCGCTCCTCCCTTCTAGTGCTTTTCCAGGCCTTTCTAAGCTCCATCTCCATGGCACTTCATCCTTGCTTTCCATATTATCTCATTTTTTATCAAAATAAGGGAAATTAGTCATAAAAGCATTAAATTC